CACCGTCCAGCTAGCGGACGCTAGCGGTCACCCCATATCTAATATAACATGTAAAAGACGTATGAGAAGAGAAATAAGATTTGTAAATATGTATAATGTTTTTTGGCGTTTCACTAGAGTAGCAGTTGTACAATTAACCCTGCTTTATACAACGGACACCAAGGACAGTTTTTGGATCTTTCCCTTGACTGGCCCTTATCGCCCTGATCGCTCTACAGGGTTTGACTGTGTTATCGCTGCATACAATAATGAATCATATTACATGAATATAATAAACGCAGATGATGTCATCGTATGTGATTGCCATATGACGTCATCATCTGTTGCGTGACGTCACAGGTCCGCCGGATGCCGACGCGTGCGACGCCAGCGGCAGGGCGTGGGTCGCATATCCGCTCGACTGTGGCGCCACCGGATGCACCATCGAGCTGAGCTTCGACGTGCCGGTGGCGCCCTCTACGATGACGCTGTGGGTCACGTGGTACGCGAAGGACGGCCTGCGCGACGTGGTGCTCGTCTACACGGACGGCAGCGAGCTGTCGCTGGGAGCGGTGCCAGTCTATTGTGATATGCCTTATACGGCGTCGTTCGACGGCATACTGAAGAAAGTTACCAAGGTACGTTGCCGCCACTTATACCCGCCACCCCATCCTACACACATACCATACATACATACTGAGAGAGAAAAAGAGACGCGTACAGAAGACACACACACACACACACACACACACACACACACACACACACACACACAGGGGTAGTGGCAGTGGATCTACGTCCCGTAGAGACTGTCCATGCCTCCCCTTCACACACGGGTCTCGGATACATTTGACGTTGCATCATTACAGGTGGTGTGGTCTTGGATCCGGCTAGCTACGGTAAGCCGTCACGGCTTCATGACATGGTGCATGAGATAGGTCACGTGCTCGGACTCTGGCACGTCTTCCACGGCGTCACGGAGCTCGACTGCAGCGACCCCTGCTGGGAGTACAAGGCATCACTGGAGCTGGGAGATCTATGCTCGGATACGAACCCGACTATAGATTGGAATCAGACTTGTTCTGATCCGCCGCCACGTATCGCCATGTGCGGGTCGGCTGGCTTTCACGATACGCCCTTCCACAACTACATGGGATACTCAGGTATACACTCAGTCATCTATCCATCCATCCATGCATCTATGCATTCATCCATCCATCCATCCATCCATCCATCCATCCATCAATAGTATAACGTGTCGTCTGCTTGCGTCGCTCTATCTGCAGGCATGACGGTCCGCTGCGCATCCTCTGCCGTGCACTGGTCCGTCGGTGTCATGACGACGGGATGGGACGGAGAGAAGGACGCTCGCATCTTCTTCACTCTTGCCACGCCGCAGCAGACGGCCTCGGAGACGACGATCTTCGCGCATGCGCACTACCGACCCAACACGTGGTCGCACGTCGTCGCCACGTACGACGGCGCGACGATGACGCTGTACGTCGACGAGGCGAGAGTTGCAGTCGGCCGCGACCAGAGCGGTCACCTCCTCACAGCGGCCACCAACGACTGCGCTGTGTTGACGCTAGGCGGTAGCAGCGACGGCGGCGGCGGCGGCGGAGGGTATCGAGGCACGGTGGAGGACGTGAGGCTGTGGTCGCGCGCTCTGTCGCACGAGGAAGTCGTTGCTAAGCGACAGACGCCGCACGCGCGCCGCGGCGCCGACGATGACGTCATCATCTTCGAGGATTTCCGTGACGTCACCGATCTGTGGGACGCCGTCGAGGACGTGTACCCGCGCGTCATTCCCTCGGATCTTAACAAACAGCACCGACAGATGGCGCTGACGCCCGGTCGCTGCGGACGCACGGTGTGCGACAACCCCGACGTCGTCGGCAGCTACGCGACGCACGCAGAGCTGCGGTCGGCAAAGTTCGTCCGCTATCGGCTCGTCAATGTTCACGAGGACGACGGTAGCGCCCCCCAGCTGACACGCGAGCAAACACAAGCGCAGCACAAGAAGCTAGCGAGCGCCTTCCGGCCGCATAACATACACTGGATCTTCGAAGAGCTGCCTGTCTTTAATTCCTCTCTTCGCCACAAGGTGGTACTGTCGAGCTGCTCGGCGCACGACGTCGGCAACGGTCGGTGCGACACCTGGTGCAACGTCACCGTGACGGGGAACGACGGTGGCGACTGCGACGGAGCGCTGGTGACGTCATGCGAGGCGACGTCGGTCGGGAATGGAGAGTGCGACACGGAGTGTAACAAGCATTATCATGGATGGGACGGCGGTGACTGCTGCAGGCAGGACGGCTCTCACTCATGCTACGATCCACAGTCTCCCCACAGGTACGCCACACACACACACATCTATACACGCACCGGCTCACCTATACATCCATCCATCCATCCATCCACCCATCCATCCATCCATCCATCCATCCATACATCCATTCATCCATCCATCCATCCATCCATCCATCCATCCATCCATCCATCCATACATCCATCCATCCAT